TGTCTCTGTCTCTGTCTCTGTCTCTGTCTCTGTCTCTGTCTCTGTCTCTGTCTCTCTTTCTCTTTCTCGCTTTCTTTCTCTTCCCCTCTTTCTCTTCCCCTCTTTCTCTCTCTCCTCCTCTCTTTCTCACCATATCTTTCTCTCTTTCTCTCTCTCTTTCTCTTTCTCTTTCTCTCCCTCTTTCTCTCCCCCCTCTCTCTCTCTCTCTCTTTATCCCTCCTCTCTTTATCCCTCCTCTCTTTCTCACCGTATCTTTCTCTCCTTGCAGAAGAAGGAGGAGCTAGCTAGCAGGGCCAACCAGCGGACGGGCGCGCTCGTGTGGGGCGGCCTCGCGCTCATGGGCGTGCAGTTCGGCATGTTGGCGCGCCTTACCTGGTGGGAGTACTCGTGGGACATCATGGAACCGGTCACCTACTTCGTCACCTACGGCACGTCGATGGCCATGTACGCCTACTTTGTGCTCACGAGAAAGGTACGTCCGTCCGTCCGTCCGTCCGTCCGTCCAGGACTCGAGTTGGGATGTTAGCCTGTCTTCAGAGTGGAAGCTGTGTGCGTGCGTGCGTGCGTGCGTGCGTGCATGGTGCGTGCATGGTGCGTGCGTGCGTGCGTGCGTGCGTGCGTGCATGGTGCGTGCGTGTGTGCGTGCGTGTGTGCGTTCATGCGTGCGTGCACGCGCGTGTATTTCTGTATTAGTGACAGTTGGAGTCAAATATCGCGCCACAAGTTAGCTCTAGTCACACACACTTCACTTGAAATTGCGCGAATATTTTTTTTCCCCGCGGCTTTCGGTCGTGGTCGTCGTCACCGTCAGTTTGTTCGGCCGTTGTCATAGCTACGCGTCCACGCAGCAGAAGATGTAATTACGATGGGCGTCGTGGCTAGCGCGTGCGGACTCAGCACTTCCAGTCGCGAAGCAAATCTATGTACACATCGCGGGGCTCGGAGAATAAAGGCGGCGGGAAATGCGATATAGAAAATCGAATTCAATATCGCGCAATATCGTGTCGGAGTGTGTAAAGAGACGGGGATAGAGGGAGAGAGGGAGGGAGGGAGGGA